TCCCACATCTGCACCTTCTCCTGGTCCTCCTTCAGCTGGTTCCGCTCGTAGTCCAGCTGGATGCCCAGCCTGGTCTTCTGGGTCTCAAACTCCAGCCTGGGGGACGGGGAGGAAGGGGGCCCTTAACACACGAGCTAATGAACCCGGAGGAGAGAGCTGAGAGGGGGCAGGCCACTGCAGAGAAGAATGGGGGGCAGGAAGAGTGAGAGGGGAAATGGAATACTGAGGCAGAGGGGAGGTCAGGGGTCAGGGGGTGTTAACCAGAGGAAGGAAGAAGGAGAGAGGCCAACAGGATTTTTTAACGTGCAAACTAACATACACAAGAGCCATCTCTTTTACAGACAGGAAAACAGATCCCAGTTAAACTCCCATGCTCAGACAGGAGAGCCGACGCAGGAGGGTCAGGCGCGCGCGTGCAAGACTGACCGCTTCTTGGCGATCTCATTCTGCCTCTTGACCTTCTCCTCCTCGAACTCGCGGATGTTCCTCACGCCGATCTCTTCGCAGAACTCCACGAACACCTCGTCCTCCACCTGGCGCACAACACACAGGGCGCGAGAACACACACCGGAGTCAGGGCGGGGGCCGTGCGGCGGGGCCCGCGGGCGGAGACGGGGCGGCGCGCGCGCTGTACCAGGTTCATGCGGTCTCGCAGCTCCTTCATCTCCCTCTCCCGCGACTGGATAATCCTCTTGATGTCATTGATCCGGGGCCCGAAGTTCGCCAGCTCGCTCTCCAGCTTCGACTTCTCCTGCAGACGCGGGGAGGGACAGAGGGCGCAAGAGTGAGAAAGACGCACAAAGGAAAAGGACGAGCAGCAGCCGGAGAGCAAGGAAAAAGGACGGTATTAGAAGAGGGAGAGGGAGAACGTCACAACAGCACAAGCAGAGAGCAGCAGAGACCTGCATGTTGAGAGAGAGGTGCCGGGTCTTGGTCTGCTCCAGGTCGCTCTGGGAATACTTCAGTCTCATCTGCAGCCCGTGGGCCTGGGACTGGACCTGCCGCAACTCCGCTTCCTTTCGCTTTGCTTTCATTTGCTCCTGCAATACAAGAGTCAGCCCCAATCAGTACA